CTGCAAATGTGTATATGTATAGTTAATTATATTGTAGCATCTACCAGTCTACATATATAAACTGAAAAAGCTGTGTGTTTGAATCACTTTGGCAATTGCCAAGAAAGCAAATGGCTTCCTGGTCTCTGTGAGATTATTTTAGCTTTTATATCTGTGTGTGTGTACAAGTATAAATAAGTTAAATGTCCATGCCCTAGCTGTAACGTCATTTGACTATAGTTGCCTATAGCTAGCTAATAGGTATAGACGTATAGTATATATTTCATATGGCCACAAGAAACTTAATTATTATATTGTTGTGATTCACTGTCATAACTTAAGCAATAATAATCATAATTAAATAGCCGAATCTTTGTGATATATAGTGTCGACATGACAATAATTAAGTCTGAAATTTGGTGATCAAAATGATTAAATTATAAAGACAAGTGTTTTGAATTAGCATATATTTGTCTTGTGCGTGCGTGCATGTGTAAGAGACCAAGGGAATTGCTTTCAAACATTTCTATTTTTTTTCCCCAATTCCTATAATGTTGTAACATGCATAGGCACTAATCAAAGTCTTCACATTTTCGTGGAGAGATTTTTCTAAACTTTTTTTTAATTATTATTTAAGATTGTTTGATGAGAGGTTTTCTTTTTGGTCAAATGTATGATGAGATGATTACAAGGTTGACTAATTCAAGTGATAAGAATGCGATGGATGGATATAGAGAGGTTTAATATTTATTCAAACCTTCATACACAGAATTGTGCATTTTCCCCTCTTTCTTCGTTTAGAAATGAAAGGGGTATGTAAGAGTGATAAAGTCAATTTGCAGTAATTCCTAAATCTTCTGGTTCTTGGTCACAAGCACGGTGAGTTTGCTTACTAAAAAAAAACAAAGAAAGAAAATCCTCCAGTTTAGAAATTGCCACCAGGTATGGTGTTTGGGGGAACTAGTTTTGATACTTATTACAGATATGAGTATTATAATACTTATCGCTACAGTAAAATCTAACATATATAGAATCAGTTTTAATGGTTGAGATTTAAAATTTTCAACTAGTAATTTTCAAATAAAAAATTATTTTTTAAAAAACTTACAATTAAGAGATTATATTTATTTTGGATTATATGCCTATTTAAAGAAAATTTTTTTTCAAACATAAAAAATATTAAATATTAAATCCCAACCATCTATATATTAAATTTGAATGATCGAGATTCGATAAGTATCATGTTGTTTATCACTACAAGGAGCATTGAAACTGGTTCCATGTTTGGCTGGGCATTTTTTCCATGCTTAAGGCCTTCTCATGGTTCATTTGGTATAAGGAAAATGAAAAAAAAAGGGAGAAAATTTTTTAATGGCATCGCATTTTAAAAAAATTTTAAATTAAAGAAGTGAAGTTAAAAGGCTTTAATTAATTTTTAAGATTAGTATAATCTTTAGTCCTTTAAATTTACTCTCATTTTTAGTTTTGGTCTCTCAAGTTTCAAACAATAAGTTTTAATCCTTCAAATTTCTTTTTATTTAAAATATTTATCCTTATGATTCAATAAAAAAAACTAAACCATTTTACACGGACCAAAACCTATGACTTTAAATTTGAAGAACCAAAACCAAAATGAAAACAAATTTAAAAGATCAAAACTTATATTGACCCTAATTTTTATTATTCTTTTATCTTACGTCTTCTGTTTATTAAAATTTTAAATCCCTACTTCTCCAATCTTTTAAATCGAACTCATTCAAATTTTTTATTCTCTCCATTTTCTCAATCTAAACATAGGTTAAGTGTTTCTTTACGTTTAGCGCAAAATCTTTTTTTTTCCCTCTCGGCTCACTGAATTGCATTCTTATCTCTCTCTCTCACTCACACACACACACACACAAAGAGATCAGAAAATAGAAGCTGGCAAAAAAGGTTTCCTAATTGGACGAGAGAGTTGGGCTTTGCAGGTGTACCCATTTTGAGAAGATAAAAGTTTCTCGGCGGATGAGATTGTTATACTCTATCTCATCTGCAAACGTGAGAGTCCAAATAGAAAAGGGGCTCTTATGAGTGGGTTATCATCTTTGGAAGAATGGGAAAATGGGAAACTATGTTTGCTACGCTAATGATAAAGTTGCACATTAAGTGTAGATTATTCGCAGTTAATTATTACGAGCAACAGTTTATATTAGATGAAAGAGGTGACATATCTATATCTATACACACACACACAAGAAGTTGTATAAACTTAATAGCTCAAGGTTTTGGGTTAAAAGAAAATCAGGTACGTACCACTGACTTATGCATATAATTGACTTTTTCTCAGTCTAATGAATCGAAGCAGAAGGCCTAGAAAGATCTTCTAAGTGTATAGCATCCTCCTTGGCCAACGTGAGAGTACATAAAAGAGAGATAAATCCACAGGCACATCTACACCTATACATGAACTGGAAATTAATGAAATTAAGCTGGCGAAATCGGAAAGACAAGCATGAATGGTGGGAGCCAAAGTAAAGAGATCGACCTGGTGAGTGAATGAAAATGAAAGGCCCCCTTTTTGTTAATGGCCACAATTAGTTAGTATGGATCTCCAATCCTAAAGCAAAGTTTGATGAACAATTCCACACAATATTGACTCTACGTGATCCCAACCTCATGTTTACCTTTGCCTTTTGCTTTTGCTTTTGCTTTTTGTGTTTTGCTTCTCATCAGTCCACACACTCCGTGACCCTATTTAATTCAATATCCAACCTCCATCCTCTATTTTCCTCTTTCAATTAATATAGCACGTATGGATGTCAATGTACAGTGTAATCAGCTAGCTCTATAAATAGGGATTGGATTGAACTGATGATAACATCATAAGTTTTGGATATGGGCTGCAATTTATGTGTTACATATGGCAAACAGGAATACTACTCGTTGCTCCATTGAACTTGAGCCTAGGACCTTAAATGAAGGCCAGCTCTCTCAAGCCAGAGTACTTACCACTTACTTTCCCTCTTAATTTTCGTTGTTTAATTTCTTCTTTCACCTTTCACTTCTTCCCCCACAATATTCCCACTTTTTGTGCATGATATGGTATATGGACTACTGACAGAAAGCCTATCAGATATATAATGCATGCATGTGTGCTTAGTTTTACATCAGAGGAATGGTTTTTGATTTCTTATGTGAAGCTAAACATGCTTACAAAGAGAGTAACCTGTCTTTTCTTGATGCAGAAAGTAGCTGAAGATGTGATGCAGAAGATGGAACCAATGGAAGCCTCTTGTCTTTTTACAGAGGTAATTAGTCCACTCTGTATTTACTTCAAGAACCAGCTACACACACACACACACTACATTTATTCCTTAATATCAGAGCCAGTTTGACTTTCAATTTGGTCCTAAATATAAGATCCCAATTTACTTTGTCTCTCTTATTTATTTTCAAAGTAGTCATTGTAATAGTTTTATATGTTAAAGATTCCGTCAAGTGGTAGTTCTAGTTAATATACATAATTAGTAAAGATATTCTAGGAAAAATAATACCAATTCATGACAAATAACTAACTTAACAAACTTCTTTGATCTATTCAAATTAGTCAACTAGGTTTATATTAAGAACCAGAGGTAGTATATATATACATATATACTGTCTCTCTTACATTAACTTGAAGAATGGTCAAAGCGATGAATATGTGGATGAAGGGACTGGAGAATTCAGAAGAAGAGGTGATCACGGTGTTGGATGAAGGAGAGGAAGTAGTTGAGAAGCCAGTCGGCTGCCTAGAGAAGATTGAAGACATCATAGAAGAGAAAGCTTGCAATATCAGTCTGTACCCCTCAGTCGTCGTGGTTGATTCTCCATCAGATGATCAACTACTTCATATTCACCATCACGAACCTCTTTCTGCTCCTTTTTGATTGTCTCTGCATATCATATATTTGTAATAAAGCCCCCCTTGTTTTCCCGGCTCTCTTGTAATAAATTTATGAGCAAGCAGAAACTTTAATGTGATTATTTCTGGAGTAGCAGTACTTGTAAAAACTAATCTGTGATGATGAGCTCTAACAAAGAAAGGAAATAGTTACTTTAGTAGAGATTGATGCCTAACTTTTACAGAATCTTAAAAAAGATAATGACATGAGATTGATGGGATTCACATGTTATGTTGGTAATTGACTTTGAATTGGAGGTCACAGGCAGAGGCAGTGGGAAAGCTTCTAGCTAGCTAGTTGGATGTATCATTGATAGTACATAAAAATTACTGCTATAACTATGTATGTCACGGGTCCAATCCACAGGAGTCGTTAGTCTTTCAAGTGATTCCGGGCCAAGCCTGGCCTGGCCCGGCCCGAATTTTTTTGCATAATAAAAATTTATCTAGTTAGATATTTGAATAGTGAATTTTAAGTTATATTTAATAATATTTGAATGTGGAAATATCAAATATGTATTGTGAACATGCAAATCTATCATTTGTATTTCTTTTGCAATTGATAACTCCTTTCAAATCATTTATAAGTTAACGTCTGATTTTTTATTAAAATCATTCTCCGATTGTTATTGGTAATTACAAATGAAGCGGAAGCTTTGTCATGGAGGGATAAAATTTTAAAATGACGCACGTATATTGAGAGAATATGAAAATTGCAGTGCGAGATATTTTAATTTTAATTTTATAGATGTATAGTGATATTTTTTATTCTTAGGATTTAATTTTTGGGAGAATTACTATAAAGTTTTAAAAACAAGATTGAATCATCCTAAAAAATTCGATAATAATTGAGGAGCATGTAATGATAAATTTTAATAAAAAGTGACAATAAATTTACATGTTATTACTATTTTTGATAAGTAATCCCACCTTGGTTTATTGGGGTCAACTGTTTTGTGTCTGAATTCGAAAACGACAACTGCGATGGAAGTTGCTCCGGACACATCCGTGTCGTTTCAAGCTGAAGCCCACCCCATTCTGGGACATATAAATAACGGAGCGGGCCTTAGGGTTTTCAAACGGTCTAATTGAAAGGAACGTTGGGAGGGAAGGTTCTTGGAAGGTACATACAGAACATATTCAAGCAAAGAACCCCTCCCAATTTCATAACCACAATCGATCACATCGACCTCTTCCGCCAATTCCACAAGGTACTCTCTTCTTCTCTCCAATTCGATATGTCTGAGTGCTTGTCTATGCTGTTTGCTTCCTTAGAAAACCCCGTAAACCATTGAAAAATTAGAATACCATGTTTGCTCAGAGATTTTCGCGAACTAGTGGTTTTAATTATATGAGGATGCCGGCGCTGCATTCGAAAGCACAGCTTGTCCTTACTTATAGACTTGGGTGGATTCTTAATGGAATTGGAGTTTTTTAATTTACTGTTTCCCGAAGAACCATGTAGGGGATTATAGCTCGTGGTTTTAAATTGCTAATACCTTCTTTACCTACGAGTCTTGTTGTTCTCTTTTATTTGTAATTGATGACTTTTACCCTCCACCTGGATTGTTCAATACGTGTTACTAACTTTTGCACTTTGTATGTGCTATTTATGGTTCCTATGCTTGATGAAATAGAATATGGCTAACGCATTAGCTGCTCAGGTTGTTTTATATGCTTTTATTACCCAGTCTGAGCAATAACTTTGTAATTTTGTTGAGTTTAGCTCATCTCCATTAGTCTATTTAATATTTATCACCGAATTCTGAGTGTCCTGTTCTAAGCTACGCTTTTTCAGCCTAATTGATGATAAGACATCTATTTGGTTAGATTAAACTAATTTGCCCGCGGGGCCACCCTCTCTCTCTCTCTCTCACACACAATCCATTTTTGTTAGTTCTCTGTGACAGTTTGCTGTACAATCTAAATTGACTTGTTGAGGTTAAGTATCTGATAACTGGTATGCAGCCATCACTTCCTTTCCGTGTAAAGAACACAATATGAGCACTGTTGTGCAAAGAACCCCAAGATCAGGCAGGCAGTCATTATTCTTCCAAGATTTGGCTTCACCTGTTTCAGCTCGGAGAGGAAAATTTTCAAGTCCAGGTCAGGCAGCTGCAGCATCTTCTCTATGGCGTGAGAGCACTAGCGTTTCAGACCTCCCACCACCTCCTATTTACACCTTAGAAGATAGATCAGATATTTCTCCTGAATCAGGCATACCAGATTACCAAATATCTCCTGAAACTAAGTCTGATCCTAGAAGTCCAATCCAAACTGTGAATAGGGAATTTTCAACTCCAGCCAAAAGCAAATCAGAGGCCAGTACATCTTATGCTTTAAAGGGTGTTCAGCAGAACCAGCAGAGCTCACCAGGCTTGAGTTGGTGGTCACCTACGTCTGCAAAGAGTGGTGGTGAACAAGATGAGAAGGGAAGGAGTTCACCAGTTGAGGGTGTAGTCCAGTCGGGTGCTCTTGTCACTGTTCCTCCTCCAAGGGAAGTTGCAAGGACAGATGTTCAGCGAAATTCCTTGCCTGCAGGGAATCATAATGAAGGGGAGTGGATAACTGTTTATGGGTATTGTCTTGACTTTTAACTTTGGTGCTAGAATTTTACCAATTGCTGCTATTTTTTATTTATCTTTTTTGATTTTATTGAAAGCATTACTGGACTGGTAGACATGCTGAATTGGTTTAGTTTTGATAGTTGCTAAGGTTAAAACAAAATTCCAGTCATTGACCAAAAAAAAAAAAATAACCCAGTCAAGAGAGATTTATTGGCATATTGGTTGTAGATTCTATCTTAAACTAAGTTCAGAAGATTTTAAAACTTGTGCATAGCTGGTGCTTTAAATAATTTAACTGAAACGATAGTTGTCTCTATTTTTTCAACAAAAAACTTGTCTTCATTCGTTTTCTATTCCTTATGTGGCCTTTGGGAGTGAAGGTGTCGAATCATTTTGCCTGAATGCGATTCATGGGCTGATGGAACCCAGAAACAATTTTTTTAAGATCTTTACGGCCATGATATTCTTGTTATTAAATCATTTTAGACAAAAACAGGTATTAGATTAGGAAATGAAGGAGTTGCAATAGCAGAAATGAGATATTCTCCTGGTAGAAACCAAAGATTACAGAAGCCAGAACGAATAAGAAAAGCATAACATCTGATTTTTCTTGGTTTATAGACGCACAAGCATAATGAATCATGCTTGTGGATACTAAATAACTTAGGTAAACAAAATATTGCTATGCTAATTGGGGCATCTTTCTTGCCTAGCTGGCAGACAGTTAATCTGGGGTATGCCCAATTGTTTAATTAATAGCATTTACTTTCTTTATCATATCCCATGGACGTATTTGTTACAAAGCTTTTTCTCTGCACCTGGCAGGTTTTCTCCTGGGGACACTAATTTAGTTTTAAGAGAGTTCGAAAAATGTGGTAGAATTTTGAGACATGTTCCTGGTCCCAGGGATTCTAACTGGATGCACATCTTATATCAGGTTGGTCTTCTTTTCTCAATTAAACATCATAAATAGATTTTTATTCCAAAGCATTAGTTGCATGCTGCATTTTTTTTCCACTTTTGGTCACCATCAACATAGTTTCATCAAGCGGCAGCCCCGTTGCATGTCATGAAGATGTTTTTCAAATAGGAATGCTTATCTATGACATTCTTCACCGGGGGTAAAATCTGATGGACGGCCATAAGAATTTTTTTTAAATAAATAATTTTATTAATAGTTAAGAGATCCAAGCTATAACTGCATGGGAGTCATCAGTTTATCTATTATTATTTTATGAGCTATGTGCAGACCAACTCTGTCACCTGTCCAAACACTGCATTTTGTACTTCCATGAACTATGATTATGAAACAATCATCTTGGAAGAGTAGTATACCTGTGTGATCCTCCACTACTTATGTAGTGCTTCACAACTATAATATTAATTTTAAACTTCATTTACTAATGCAGAACCAATCTGATGCTCAAAGGGCTCTAAACAAGAATGGGATGCAAATTAATGGAGCCCTGATAGTGGGTGTGAAGCCTTTGGATCCCTTGCAACGTCAAGCTTTAAATGAAAGACTTGCCAATCAGGAATTTATGCCCTTACCTCCACTGTCTGCTAGAGCAACCGAAGGGAACACATTCAGATCTCCTCCTTATATTCAGAATGGCAGTACAAGCACTCGGCAAGCAGGTGCAATTGCTTCCCCGGCAAAATCCGTGGTTTCAAAAATAATGGATTTGATGTTTGGTGTCTAGAATAGTTGTTCTTGTGAACCAGGCTATATCAAGTGTTTTATTGTAACCAAGTAAATAGGCTTTACAGCTCATCGTGTGTCATTCAAGTGTTTTGTCATGTCTTGTGCATCAGAGTTAAGTTGGGGAATTTTTATGACAAGGATCTGAGCTATGAGGAATTCTGATATCTTACTATTGCATTAGTGGCTACCTAGATCAACTTTGGGAACATAACCTACATACTTGTAATATTCCAGGTGATGTGATCTTGCTCATAGTCAATACATGAAACGAAACAATTGGAACTGTATTTTCTTATAAATTGGCCAGAAGATTTCTTGCTGGCGTTATATAGAACTCAGAAACTTTCCATATTTTCCATGCATGAACCGTTGACGGCGGATCCATTTTTATTTTTATTTTTTGTTTCAAGTACCATCATGTTGTATGTATCTTGCCAACTAAAATAGAAGCCACTTTGATGTCATGCTTCAAGGTATGTCACATATACAGGGCGATGTTTAGTACAGATATCATTTTAAAATAAAGTCTCATATTACATTGTTTTTATTTTTGGCAAAATTTTATCAAACGTGACCGACCACTTTTAAGTGATACTACCAAACATTTAGAGTCGGGAATATGGATTAGGGCTTGTGGGTCAGTCTGCCAACCCGCCATAAAAGAGTGGGTTAGGGTTGGCATTTTGCCAGCCCGTCAAGATGCGGGTTGCTCTAGCCCACACCGCATAATCCATGGGTTGTGATGGGTTAGCCTGCAGGTTGGCGGGTTGGTCTGCTTAACCCTCCACTTTTTTTTTTTAATTTTTCATATAAATAATATGTTATTATATTTGAAAATTTTCTTCTTATTTACATTTCAATTTTCATGTTACATAATACATATATATATGTAAACAAAAAATATTTTTAAAAAAATAAGCATACTATATTTATAGCAAAACTTTAATAACTACAATCAAATATAAGACAATATTTATTACGGAAAAAAAAGTGTTTTAAAAAAACATGGTAAATGAACTTTTAAAAAAATTAAATAAATGCACTTCTAATTTATTAAGAGATAGTGTTTTGTATCAAACATGGCGTTTGTATGAAAAAAATTATAAAATTTATCACTTGATAAGTTGATGTTGAATGTTAATCATGTAAAATATTTATAATGTATTATTTTATATTTATATTGACTATTTTAAAAGTGGTTAAACATCATTTATACTTGTGATTGCTTTTAAATTTTTAGATCACCATTTATTATTTTTAAAAATAAATAAAAATAAGATTTGAAAATTGAGAATTTTAATAATAATAAAAAAGCCAGCCCGCCAACTCACTGTGGCGGGTTAGGGTTGGGGTTTTTTCAACCCGCCAAAATGCGAGCTGCTCCAACCCACACCGCATAACCCGTGAGTTGTGACGGGCTGGCCTGTATTCCCAGCTATACAAAGATTTATGTTTTAAATATCATAATATCTGTTGGTCAAAAGGTCACATTATCCGACAACAAATTTAAGAATTTCAATAAAATCACACTACTAATAACCTGTAAGCAGGATCGTTTTCTATAGATTTATTTCTTTTTTTTTTTGGTGACATATAGATTTATAATTTAACATTGTATCATTGCATCTCTTAAAAATTTACTAATAATTTTTTTTGGGTCAAAAAATGTACTAATCATTTAATAACTTCAACATAATTTGAATTCAATTGGCTTACTAACAAATGTTTGATTGGTTCCAGAGCAATCAATCTTCCTTGCTTCCGAGGAGGAAATAACCTCACTTTCTATATTACCTTTTTATTTTTCGGCAAAAATTTGGAGATAGCTCCTCTCCAATCAGTGGACACATGACTTCGACAGCAAAGCGTCGAATTGAATTTGATATTTGGTTTTTATGTTTTTTAAAATTTAAAAGTATATGTTAAAATTTGATTTGAATTAGTTTATCATTCCAGTGGAGCGAAGAAAAAAACATAACGGAGAAAAACAAGTCCAACAATATATTTTATGATTTACCTGAATCTTTACCAGACTAGAAAAAAGGGTAAAAATTTTAAGGACCGGATGTAATATTATTAATAGTTTCTTTGAAATACACTACCTCTCCGGTCATAAATATAAAACTTTTTTTGTAGTATAATTTATACTATAAAATGAATCTTACGTTTAGAACCGAAGGAGTAATTAACAATGTTTTGGAGCCACCAGCACTAGGAAAGAAGGGGAGGATAACATTTTGAATAAATGTCAGTAATACAAATTATACTATAGTGATTAAAATATGGTGCTTTCACCGGTTATTTAAAAAGAAAGCATTGGTGATGATAAATCTGCCACTCTCCGATAAATGTAATAACCGCAGGGGCAGGTTACCGGAGAGAAGTGGGGGAATTTGGTCACGAATATTTCCCCTTCCTCTCTTGTGCCGCGAAGCTCCATTCATACAGCTATATATATGTAGTCGTTGCCATTTTCGCAGAGCTCGTTCACAACTATACACATATTTCTCCGCACGAAGAGCACATTCAAGAAGCTCCTTTTTCTAGCTCAAAGAAAGCCGCGACGCAGAGATGGTCACTGGACAAAAACCACCGGAGGAGGAGAAGGTGGTGGTCGTGGTGGGGAATGGCACAATGAACGGCTCACTCGTCGGACCTTCCGCCGGGATCCGCTGGAAACCTGATGCGATGCACTTGATTCTGAGGCTCTTATGCGTGGTTAGTTCAGTGATCGCGCTTTCGTTCATGGTGACTGCCAAGCAATCTAGCTCTGTCTCCATTTATGGCTTTCACTTTCCGGTTTACTCCAAGTGGTCCTACTCTGAGTCTTTCGAGTAAGCTTCTTCGACTTCTTTTAGTGTTCCAGGATCCGATCCTCTCTGAGTTCCTCAATTATTGGTAGCTCGCGATTTTATGTCATCGCGTGGTTTTTCCTTCACTTAATGCGCTTCGCTATTTTCTTGAGTTGTTCCCGTGAAAGTGAACATTGATTTGGTTCCCAAATATGGCTTCATTTCTTTTAAACTGTTTTGTAGAAGAAAGAACGAATGGAAAATCGAAATTACGACTGTTTTAAGCAACTACAGTTGCTAATATTCATTAACGAGAACTTGAAAGAAACTAGAACCTTTTGTTCATAGATGGAGTTCTTTCACTGAATTCAATTTGTAATCAAGGGTAATTTTTATTTTGTCATGTTTCCTGTTTTGTTCACTGCAATTTCTTTGCTACCTTTCCAAGCAAACTGTGCCATGATTTGAGTTCATAACCATGCTTTCGAACTTTATTTTCCTTCTCTATAGTCTGTTTACTGGCGTGATTCGGATCCATCAGAGAATTGCGAAATTGTTGTTAAGAGTGGGCCCTTGGCCTAATTTGTAATTTTGTGTCATGTGAATGTGAACTTAACCTCGTTTTGACGAAACTGCCATTGGATTTGGGGCATCGAAGTAACGACGAAATTGGGGGGATGGTCTTTAGCCTCTACTTTCGACTGTCAATGGCATTTGAATAAACAGAAACAGGCCCGTGATGGAATTTTTCTTTTTCTTTCTTTAACACTTTTCTTTTCCCTTTTTTCTTTTTTTTGTCTCCTTTCATATCCTTAGGTCAAGGTTTAAGAAAATTTTGAACATCCCTCGTCGTTTACTTCGAAACACAACCATGAAGCAACCAAGACGTTTTTTAATAATATCTTTTACGGCATGGAGTGCTTTCTTTTCTTTGGAAATGCATTTAGTGTTATTAAAATCAACCAAAGACTTTAGCCTTTTCTATAATTCTTGTAATATATTGTAACAAAGGGTTGTAGCCGGCCTGGCTATTGTTAGCTAGCCTTAGTTTAGGCGGTTCCCCCCCCCCCCCCAAGTACAAAGGATAAGTGGAAATTAGATTAAAATGAGATTAAGCTCCTGACCTCGTATCAGTCCTATGTTAAAGAATGGCTAATGCCATAGGCATTGGTTTAGACTAATATATATGGTACTGAAGTATGTAAAATACCATCGAATTTTTTTGACTTTTAGTTCTAAATTTATATTTTTTTCCAAGATGTGAAGCTTAAAATATTTTAAGATGAGATTTTTTTTTCCTTTTTGACAAGAGGAGAGTGTGTATAAAAATTAAAGTAACATTGATATAAATTTTCACCTTTTGGCATCACTCCTTCTCATTTTAAAGGCAACTTACAGAATTCATATTTTGGAGGATCTAAACTCCCTTTTACATGCAACTCAGAAATTTAATGACGCATGATTTTGACTCATTAAGGGTGTTTGCTAACATTTCAACCTAAAAAACTTATATTGACATTATTATAATATTAGTCATACTTTTTTAATTAAAAATGGTGACATGATTTATAAATAATATATTGTTATAAATTTTATTGCATATATCAATATATCGATTCGAATAAGAGGAAATCTTCTTGATTGACGTGTGTGGGTGTATTGTTTGTGCGTCTGAATAGTTGAGGACGGACCGTGATGTGCACAGTTCAGAAGCGCGGTTAAAATGTTTTGAAGCACGTTCATTAATTTTCTGTTGCACAGATATCTTGTTGGTGTTTCTGCTGCCGTTTCGGCTCACTCCTTGCTGCAGCTACTTATTGGCACATCACGGTTGCTTAAGAAATCTCCTGTGATTCCCTCAAGAAATTTCGCATGGCTTATATTCGCTGGGGATCAGGTATAGTTACACAATTGTAAGGTTCTTTTTTATATGAGGATAGGAACATGGGGCAAAAAGCGATGCAGAAAGTGGGATCACATTTGCTGTATTTCCCTCTTGTTTAATTCTTTTTTCTCCTTAGTAATTGGGCAAAGGTTCAACTAGCTCGTCCTTAATTACTAAGATTTTTTTGGTCATTTACTTGATAAAGATATTGGACACTGAATTGTTGGTTCAACTTAGTTCTGTCCTAGTTGGACTTCCTTTGCTCTTAACTGCTTCTCAGTATGTGTTCGACTGTGCTCATAATTTTCAGGCATTTGCCTATGCACTGATAAGTGCTGGGTCTGCTGCCTCTGGAGGGACCAATCTGAATCACAATGGAATTAGACATCCAGCTCTGCCAAGTTTTTGTAAGCCCCTGCATAAGTTCTGTGATCACGTAGGCATCTCCATAGCCTTCACTTTCGTAGGCTGTTTGCTGCTGGCTGCTTCTGCTATCGTGGATGTAATATGGCTCTCTAACCACTAGAAATTACCTCATATTTACACATACTTTATGTAACATATCATCTGAATATATATGTTTTCTATAAAAATCATCAGCCATCACTTCCCTTTTTCAGCCCCACCTTATGGTCAGTAGCATTGTTTGTGACTCCTATAGGTTGGTTTTGGTTCTGCAGAACTGTTTCTGCAGAATTTTCCACTTCCAATTAGGTGATAAATCTGCAGACAGAGTGTAGTATACATAATACATGGGCGCCTGAAGGTGTTTTTAAGATGATCCAACTCGTGTCAAATCGGGAAAAGTTACTAATCATATGTAATGTCCAATCCATCCATTGTGTTACTTTGAACTCCTCATTGAAACGGAGGACATATTACGTATTACTGCGTGCTTTCTTGAGTGATATAGGAAGTTAATAACTACAGTTCTGCGGGATAATTGTGGTGACCTTTTAATATTAATATTAGAAAGTACTAGATTCTATGAAATGAATATCACAAGAATGACATCCTTATTTTTCCTATAAATCTCTTTCTTTGAACACTTCAACATTTTTGTTTCACTTATTTTTTGGCTGGAGACATATGGGCATTTTTAACCAAGGTAGGTGGTGTTTCCGCCTCTTTATATATGAGTGAGTACTGAGTTGGATGTTTGCCCTTGACAAAATGTAATGAACATGTTATGAAATCAAATACAGAATTATGACCAAAAAAGAAGTGATGATTGGATTGGGAAAAATTATGGGAACAACAGAGTTAGATACTTATTACCAAAAAAAAAAAAACCTATCTAGTCCTTAATATACGATCTAATTGTTAAATTAATTTTGATCGTAAATATAAGACATATTTTTCATATTTATTAATTTTTTCTAAATTATTCACATGAATATTTCTTCAACTATAATCAAATAGGAGAGAAAAAATATTAAAAAAGATAATTACGATGTTTTAGGAAAAACATGTTATATTTCTTACAATTAACTAACTTACCTATCTTTCTTAATCTAACTAAATTAGTTAAATGGGTTTTACATTAAAAACTAAAGAGTATTGGTTTTCATTTGATTTTTTTCATTTAAAAATTTGGTATTTAGATATTTTATTCAAATCCAAAACAAACAGAATTCCCAAGCAAATTCAAGGCCTTATTCCTTGCCCGTTGTTGCATCACAAGAAATCCATTCAAGTTTCTTTCGAGTTATACTATTATCTTTGATGTTTAATATATAAAAAAATATAAGAGTAATCGACTATTTTAAATAGATTAAGAAAGTTTATTAAGTTAGTTATTTGTAATAATTAGGTGTTGTCTTCTCTAAAATACCCTTAGTGATTATGTATTAGTTAAAATCACTATTTGATTGTTCTTTTAACATATGCAATTACTATAAAAATTATTTTAAAAAAATAAATAAATATAAGAGATAAAATGGATTAAGATCTTATATTTATATTTATGATCAAATTAAAAGCCAAACTATTAAGCTTCGGACGTAGCAGTGTTTATTTCTCATATCATGTCGTTCAGCAAAATGACGTCGCCATTTATCAACAAAATGATTGTCGTTTAAGAATAAGAGTGCCGGCGAGGCTGGATTTTGCTTTTGGCCGGTTGGGGAAGCATACCCAGGATCAATTCTGTCGCTTGAAGCTTTGGGAGCTCATCAGCTTCAGAGCGCGCTCAATGGCGAAGCTTTTGCTTTCGTATTCGGCATGTAACCCCGGCCATCAATGGCTTCAGTAATTCCCTTTATTATAATAACAGAATTTAGAATTTTCCCATTTTGACTCAGGATACTCCATGGCTTGCCATTGCCTTCTTCAACATTCTCCTTTGTCATCTTCCTTCCTGCACTCCCTGCACCCAAAACACAAAACCCTGCCGAGGCTACCCAAAATCCCCTCTTTTCGATCGATTTCCTCGCAACTTCAAACGCCGGGACTTGAGAATGAAGCCAAGGAGAAAAGGCGGAACACTCATTTCGATTTCCTCAAGCTTTCAGTCACTCTTACTGTTATCTCTGCTTCCTTATCTCAACCTTCAGCTCTCGCCGCTGCCGCCACTACTGTCAAGGAAAAGAAACGAGCACCCAAAAAGCCTTCTGCCAAAAAGGTCGAAGCGATGTCGCCGGAGGAGCTTCAATCTTGGACTCAAGGTCTTCCTCTGGTCTCTGATCGCATTCCGTACACTGAAGTATTGGAATTGAAGAAGGAAGGTAAGCTCAAGCACATAATTAAGACCAGTGCTGTGAATTTGAGGCAGCGGGCAGTGCCAATTTTAGTAGTTTTGGATGATTCTAGAGTTTTAAGAACAGTTTTACCATCCTTCGAGAGTCACAAGAAGTTTTGGGAGTCGTGGGATGAGTTGAAGATTGATTCTTTGTGTGTGAATGCATATACACCGCCTCTGAAGAGGCCGGATTTACCTCCCCCAATTTTGAAACTTCCCTTGCCTCCTAAGGTCGAGTCTTTTTTGTCTTCGCTTCTTGATGTTAAACCGAAGAAGGAATCAAAGAAAGCCGCAGAGCTAAGACGAGTTAGGATGGAATTGCAGAGAGAGAAGAAAGACGAGCTAAAGAAGGTAAGGGAGGAGAGAGAAATGATGGAGAAGAGTATAAAGATGCAGAAGAAAGAGGAAGAGAGAAGGAGAAAGAGAGAAATAAGGAAGAGGAAATATGAGGAGTCATTACGTGTGGCAAGGACAAAATACGTCCGAACAGCAGGTTTTTGGTATGATTTGGCGAGGGACCAAAATGTGACTAGTGCTCTTGGACTGTTTTTCTTCATCATATTTTATAGGACTGTGGTGCTTAGTTATAGAAAGCAGAAGAAAGATTATGAAGATAGGCTGAAGATTGAGAAAGCAGAGGCTGAAGAGAGGAAGAAAATGAGGGCCTTAGAGAGGGAAATGGACGGCCTTGAGGGTGATGATGATGATGAGGGTGAGCCAGGGAAAGAGGAGGAGAATGCTTATTTGAAAATGGCAAAGCAGTTTATGAAATCAGGGGCTCGGGTTCGAAGAGCACAAAATAAAAAACTTCCTCAGTATTTGGAGAGAGGCGTGGATGTAAAGTTCACAGATGTTGCTGGGCTGGGTAAAATACGCCTTGAACTTGAAGAGATTGTGAAGTTTTTTACTCATGGAGAAATGTACCGGAGGAGAGGAGTGAAAATACCAGGTCACATTCCCCTGACCCTTGCTAAGCATTCAATAGCATCATCTGAACTGCCCCTGAAAAATTAATTGATTAAAATTAAAGCAAGCTAGTCTAGGCTCTTTGTCTTGCCGCTTTCGTTGACAATCTATTTCTTGTGGCAATCTGCTTCCCTCCTTTTGTTAACATTATTGAGGGATTTTTTTTTTAATGCCGAACTTACTCTTTTCTAAGCAAATTTTGAGGGAAAACATAGATAGATATCAGGTTTCAAACCCTTCAGCTGACTTCAAAAGCCAGGGTTATATTAACATATACATCTTTGCAGTGCTTTGCACTGGACTTACTAAGGGTTAACCTGGTCTTTCAATCAGGTGGCATACTTCTATGTGGCCCTCCTGGGGTTGGAAAGACTTTGCTAGCAAAAGCAGTGGCTGGAGAGGCAGGGGTTAATTTCTTCTCTATATCTGCTTCGCAGTTTGTGGAAATATATGTTGGTGTTGGGGCTTCTCGTGTCCGAGCGCTTTATGAAGAGGCCAGGGATATGGTACAAGATGTTTTCAATTTTTATGTTGCTTTACAATTTTCCGTATTTGATTCAAGTATGTTGTTTGTTTGTTTGTTTGGTTTTCATCTAATTTCCTCTGATGTCTTTTTGGTTGCAATTATCATCTTTGCTTGAACCCATTATTTTGCTTTTTGCTTTTGTGCTAACTTGCCTCATTCTTAATCTAACTGACCTCCTTTTCTTTCTAATTCTCAGGCTCCATCTGTTGTTTTCATTGATGAGCTGGATGCAGTAGGAAGGGAGCGTGGCCTGATAAAGGGTTCAGGTGGACAGGAACGTGATGCTACTCTTAATCAGGTTCATCATGGCACAACTGAAGTTCCCAACTGGAGCTATGATTTTTGTGTGTGTGTGTGTGTGTTTATTGGTTGATGTTTATTACCTATTGAATGCTTCAGCTACTAGTCTGCTTAGATGGGTTTGAAGGAAGAGGAGAAGTGATTACCATTGCTTCCACAAACCGACCTGACATTCTGGATCCAGCACTAGTAAGACCTGGGCGTTTTGATCGGAAAATATTTATCCCCAAGCCTGGACTCATTGGTCGCGTAGAAATTCTAAAGGTAGCAGCTCCAATATGTATTCCATATTATGTTTGCATTAAAGATTCAGTTAAACCTTAGAACTTTGTAAGGCAGTTGTTTTGCTTCTAATTTCAGAACTAGCAATTGTAAATATGTGTTTAATGGAAGTTTGCAATTGTTCTATTTTTTGTGCGGCAATAGGTCCATGCCCGTAAAAAGCCAATGGCTGAAGATGTAGACTACATGGCTGTTGCTGGTATGACTGATGGAATGGTTGGTGCCGAGTTAGCAAACATAGTTGAGGTTGCTGCCATCAATATGATGCGAGATGGAAGGACTGAGGTGGGTTTGTCTTAGCTTTTTCCTTTGTCTTTGCCTTTATGAAAGGTAGCGGATGACAGAAGTTTCTATTTCTCCTCCCAAAGAAGCCACTTACTTTGGAGGCATAAAAATTACATGCGTACTCAGAAAGTGGGGGAAAGAGGTCAAGGAATAAACAAGAGATTTCTAAGTTATGCTGACATGGAGACTTTTCTACTTGATACTTTTTCAGATTACAACTGATGACTTGTTACAAGCTGCACAAATGGAAGAAAGGGGGATGCTTGATAGAAAGGAGAGAAGCTTTGAGGCTTGGAAACAAATAGCTATAAATGAAGCTGCCATGGCTGTTGTGGCTGTGAACTTCCCCGATCTTAAAAATATTGAATTTGTATGATCATTACACTGTTTATTGCATTATTTTGGTTATGCATATTCTCATACCTAAAATGGGGAATTTGACTAAAATTGTATTCTACATCACTTGCAGAGGAACTTATAAATGCTTACTTCTAAATAGTTTTAGAGAATAATATCGTCTGTGAATTCAGAATCCATGATGGTAATCATATGCATCATTCTGTCAGCTGATTATTTTTATGCACATCAGATGTTAGAATAACGAATCATCTATTATGGTAAATAACAAATTTTGGAGGCAAGAACAAATCTTCCGCGCTTCTTCATTCCGCATCTGGGGTACCGTCTTTGTGCCATGTCATTTACTATTGAATGATAGACGATAGATGTACCACTGTTGGACAAGACCTGAAATTGCTATTGTTGCCACATAAATGCGATGCAATAAAGAATGCATAGTCCAAAATGCTGACAGCTTTGTTCTCATAATGAACCTGACCTGCATCTAAAGACTGGCATACAAGAACTTAAGGTCGTCTTTATGGTGGTATCTGTATGTTTCCACAATTTACACTAGATATCCGTTGTTGTGATTCTGCAGAACTTAACCTGGTAGTTTGGTGTTTGTTTCTTTTATGTTTTTGGAACCTGAATTGTCATGGCCTCTGTCACACGTAAATGATTAGTTCTTTATTTTCTACCATTCCCCATGTTTATACTCCTGGTAAACATTGTGCGTCTCATCATTTTTTTGGCTTCATGTAGGTCACAATTGCTCCTAGGGCTGGTAGGGAGCTGGGTTATGTTCGAATGAAGATGGATTCAGTCAAATTTAGGGAAGGAATGCTTACGTATGGATTTTCTCTTGTACCCTTAGCTCCCTTTTGTTATGATTATATTTTGCTTTAGCTGATGCTTTCCAAATAAAACATCTGTCTCTTTGTTACTGGGAAAGGTCAATGGTAATGTTGCAGGGCTATGTTTATAATTTATTTTTTGTCAAATTAATGCTCGTTAAGATTGCCTTGCAAAACTCCTTATTGGTATCGTTGCGTCTCTTGTAATGATATATATGCAGCCGACAATCTCTCCTTGATCATATCACTGTTCAATTAGCACCACGGGCAGCTGATGAAATTTGGTATGGGAATGGTCAGGTAAAGTTAGGCTTACTTTCTTTCAACTAATTTATGATATGAGAGCTCACAGATTAAAGAATAATATTTTATCTGTTATAAAACTTTCAACCTCTGAATTTATATGATTTTGTATATCTTGACTTGGATTGTGGATTAATAGCAGGTAATGATAAATACGTTAAAATAAAAGTTTTACAAATGTATTATAACAAGTTTTGTTTTTAATGGAATGCTTTAATTTGTATTATTCCTGAGGGTGTTTTGGTCATTATCACTCACAGATTTGTGTATATTTCATAATAAAGGAGAGGATTGTGTATTTTAGACTTTGCTTTGTTGGGACAGGAGAGTACTTTACGCTTCATCTTTTAATAGTTTATCCGGAATTGGAGTTTTTCTTCTGACATGCATATATTTACTTTTGCCTCTTTGTCCTCTGGAGTCCTAGTTTTTCCATCTCGTTATAGATGTGAATTTGATTTGGCTGTACAACTAGTTAACATGCTTGGTAATATTTCAGTTGAGCACGATATGGGCTGAAACAGCAGACAATGCTAGGTCTGCGGCAAGGACTTTTGTTCTTGGTGGGCTTTCTGAGAAGTATCATGGGATATCCAACTTCTGGGTTGCAGATCGAATTAATGTATGCATTCTCTGTTTCAATTTCGCAAGATTCTTGCGTTGTGGTTGTTAGTTCCAGTTTTGGTCTCAGATGAGCAAAGAGAAAAATAGGTCAACAGGGGGGAAAAAACAAGCGAATTCTGTTGCCTCAAACTTTTTTGTAATGATATATGTTGGCCAACGAACTGATTCTCTTATATAATTCAATTACCAGGAAATTGATCTGGAAGCCATGCGGATCGTCAACTCATGCTATGAACAAGCAAAAGAGGTATGTTAGAATGGAAAAAAATGGATCAAAGAACGTTTTCTATTCACGAGTCAAAGTGATCCCCTTGTTTTCCTAACAGATCTTGGAGCGAAATAGAACTCTAATGGATGCCGTAGTGAGTAAACTTGTTGAGAAAAAAAGCATAACAAAACAAGAGTTCTTTCACCTAGTAGAAATGCATGGCTCCATAAAACCAATGCCTCCTAGCATACTTGACATTCGGGCTTCCAAGCTCCAACAATCTCAAGAGGTATTGAAGAATCAAAAGGAAGCCGCAGTGAGGAGCCGCGAATGAAGAAGGCACTCAGTCTAAGTAAATCAATCACTAAGATGCTCAATGGTTCTTAAGTTTGTCATACCATGAGGAACTTGCAGCCGGCGATCAACCAGTGCTCTTAGAAATTAGCTTTTGGTGTTTCTTTTTGGCCGTCCTACTGACACCTTCTTTGGGGACTGGACATTTTGAGCTAGAACCAAATGACTGCCATACAAAGCGGTGAAGTTCCTTTTTTTCCCGTTCTGCTTTTGCTTGCAAAGTGGTAGGGTTCAAAAGCTGATCACAAGCAATACTTAGTGTGAGCTGCTATAGAATACCTACTTTTTGAGTTTATGTATATTATTTATGGTCATAGAGATAAATGTTACAAATCAGGCTTTGTTTGAGGTTTCTTGGCCATTTTAAACGGGATGGAGAGATTCTTTTCTGGAATCGAAGATTGATCTTGTTCAGTTTATTGTGCCCCATGCAACAATAGCACCCTGTTCAAATTACAATCGATTATTGAGGATTGATATTCATTCATTTGAGGAGTCACATTTTCTCAGGTGGTTTTAATAACCAATTAGATGATGAGTTTCTCCATACAATAAAATATACTCCTCCAGTTTTTGATATAAGACATATTTTATAGTATAATTTGTATTACAATTCTACAAAATGGGTAAGAACCGAAGGGAGTATTATTTATGTTATGTGAATAATACGGTGTTCATAAATCTTCTCGCCACTTTCTCATTTGTGCAAGTATTAAAAAAAAAAACAGTAAAAATGTTCAGGTATCAATTTGTGGAGTGTTTGTACTAGTTTATACTTCATGGTATTGGGCGCCTTAATGTTATGTGCTTAAATTAAACATGTATTAGAAAATTAAAAATCAGAACCTTTTTTTAAGAGACATGCAGGAAGTTGAGACAGTTATATGGCTTTGAAAATATCTGATATATTTTAGAAAAAAACTACCAAGTCCGAAAGCGTAGCTCGATGATACTGAAAAACAATATAAACTAAAGTAATATACGAATAGTTGCATACAATTTTCCTTTTAAAAAATTTTTTTGGACCAAGAATAATTAACAATCAGTGAACATATGATTATTTTCCCCAAAAAAAAGGAACAAAAATTTGCTCTTGGCATAAAAGAAAATTTAACCCCCACGATGCCCAGTAATGGCCACACCCTCCTGCACGTTCAACGTTGAACAGGTTTTGCATCGTGCCTCACTATTCTCTGCAAATACCTTCCACGTCCTTATATATACATAATGTGTCTGTGCATTTATGTATACACTCATACTCGTATCTCTACCATCTATTAGTGGAAAAGAGAGGACTCAAACAGAGATATGGCTTCTCTTGTTGTGCTCATTTTCATGGCTGCCACCTTCATCACTGCTTCTCCATCACTCACCGAAGCTTCGAGGCAATTCAAGGTTGGTGATGACTTGGGTTGGCACCAACCTGACCCTCATAACTCTGCCTTTTATATCCACTGGGCTGAAACAAACCGATTCCAAATCGGTGACTCTCTTGGTCAGTTCTTCTCTCTCTTCTTCACTTCTCACCTCTCGTACGTCCCACATAATTTTTTGCTGCTCTCAGGTTTTGTTTAATCTTTTCAGATGCAACACCGTAACACTGATGAGCGACCTGTTACTTAGCATTTGTCACTTGTTGCATGTCGTGTCGTCTTATATATATAGTCGTGCGCGTTGGCAGAATCTGCTTCACATTTCTCGTCAGAAGAAATCAATGGAAAAAGTTGAGATTTCGAAGGCTCAGCCTGAGAGATTAGAGAGAGAGAGAGAGAGAGAGTCCTGTAAAACCAACCATTTCTTTGACACATGCCGCTTCATATAATCTATCATGTGACAGTGTCTGTGTTCTTCTATTTCTATTTCTGCTTTCCTTCGACATGACAAGACACATCATATATAACCACGTGACACTAACGTCTGTGTTGTTTTACCGGCATTAAAGTTGTTCTTAATTAATGTTGTGGGTTCTGGTTGTGAGTGCAGAATTTGAGTACCAGAACGACTCAGTACTAACAGTGGAAAAATGGGATTATTATCACTGTGATGCGAGCGACCCCATCACTGCGTTTGACAATGGCAAGAGTATAATCAATCTGGACAGAGCTGGGCCTTTCTACTTCATCAGTGGCGTTCATGACCACTGCATCAACGGCCAGAAGTTGATCGTCGATGTCATGTCCCCACACCCCCTCCCTCCTGCATCTCCACCGTCCATTTCTCCCGCTGCTCCTCCACAGCCTCCAGTGGGCCCCTCGCCTTCTTCTTCTTCACCTTCATCTTCTCCTTCATCTTCCCCTAGTAGTTCTGCTTCTGAGCCTGAGGTTTCATCTTCATCAGTGGTTCTGGGATCAGATTTTATGGCTATTCTGCTCGGCCTTCTTGTGATCATCCTGCAATATTAATTTCCTGATCAAACTCTTTCTGATTTAATTTTTTTTTAGGCTTTAGGGTTTTAAACTATATTTTATTCCTTAATTATCTCCCAGGCCACTAGGTAGCTTGGCATTATTAGGATAATTATGATGGTTTTTCTTGTGTTTATGATAATGGGTTCACTCTATTTCCAGTGTACCTTTGATTGTTATATCTGAGGCCTTTTTAGTTATTCAGTATCTTAGACCATTTATTTTTCTGCTTCTATAATTAATTATAATTGGAGCAACATGAAAGATGAGGTATCTTATATTTATCTATTTTTATTATTTTCGTTATTTTTTTCCCAAAACAAATTCGTTTTACTCTATTATATTCCGAGACTTTTCGTTTGACTTGCCTCCGTGGAATAAAAAGGATAAATATTTCCAATTGAACAAGTGATAAAATATTATTCTTAAGCGTAGAAAGAGAGAAAGAGCGACAAAATATTAATTTTTCGAAAGAAATTCAAATTGAGGAAGATCCTAAAACTCAGATTTTGGTCTCTCAAATAAGTCTGCCACAGAAGATGGAGGAAAATCCCAACAAATATTGGCCGTAGAACGTCCTACCATTTATAGTTAATAATAAAACTCAATTTTTTTTTTTTTGGATTTTAGGAATATGAATGCGAAATTGCAAATTCTGTGTTTAATTGATTGAAAAAGAAATTAACGACAGAGACATTCACAGTTGGCATCCTTTATTTTCTCTTTTTCCTAACTCAATCACATGCTTAATGTCTTCACTCTTAATTCGTCTTCTTCCAATTAACCTCTCATCATCTGTCTTCTTCCTTTAATTTCCCTTGCGTGAATTATTTAATTTATTATACTTCAACCTAAATAACTTGTCAATTCTTATTATTTTTGTCACAACTTTATTATTATCCAGTAAATTATTTTTTTATGATTTTTTTTCTTGAATTTTTACACAAAACACGTGCGTGCGTGTGTTTTTATGTATATATTGATAATTAAGTAGGTGATTCCCCTGTACATTGCAAAAAGTCTTTAGAGAAAATGACAATATCTATAATTTAGTAATAATTATGCTTCATTTTATACCTAATATTGACATTGATATGCCTCATACATAAATAATATAATAGCTAAAAGGGTATTATTATATAACTATTCCTTTTTTTTTTTGGAAGAACATGTGGGTTGCTATTATATTATTAAGCAAATGAAATTAAAAATAGTTTTAGCATTTTCTTTTTGAGTTCATCTTAATTAGAAAGATCCAAGAATCTGAAAAAAAAAAAAAAAAGTTTTTTAACCTGCCCGAAATGACTAAATTTCCATCCAAATTGAAAAGTATGAATTTTGATCATATTGTGACACAATTATGGTCAGTAAACATGAGAGTTTTATTCCAAACTGAAGTACAGTGTATATATACACAATGCATTAACAGTTATCAAGTCCTCCTCCGTGCTTATTATAGGACCTAATTATTAAGTTAATTTTAGTTTTAAATATAAGACCTATTTCTCATATTTATCAATTTTTTCTAAATTACCCCTATGGATACTTATTCAACCATAATCAAGTGAGGGAGGGAGGGAGGATATTAAAAAAGATGATTATAGTGTTTCAGGAAAAACATCTCATATTTCTTATAATTAACTAACTTACCTAACTTTCTTAATCCAATCAAATTAGTTAAATAAGTCTCATATTAAGGACCGGAAGAGTAAAATGTAACAACTCAACTAACTTAACTATATATATCTTGCTAGCTTACTAAGTGCACAACAAGTATATATACACGACCAGAGTTAGAAAAATATTCTAACCAACATTATACACACACACATATATATATGCATGGTCTATTATTCCAGTACATATATATATGGTCTATTATTCCAGTACATATATATGGTGTTGATATTAATTATCTATCTGTCTTTTGTTTGTGGCAGCATTACGAAGCCAGATAGATTTTCTTGTAATACAGCAGCTAATGATTTGATTAATTATTCTAATTTTTCATGTCATCCCAAAACCATGAGGACCATGAATATCCTAATTAAGCATAGCTAGTATATTAATCAATCAATTAATTATGAATACCTAAATAATGACAGGAATTGAATTCCTCTTTTTAACTCATCAGGTGCAGAAACAGACATAAAGTTGTGTTTGGCAACTGAAATTATTAAAATTAATCCAAAAACATATGTATACAAGGATAACGTGCTTAAATATTCTGATAGTATTCACAAACGAGCACCCAATACCTAAAAAAAATTTTGGCTCTTATATATCTTGAAAGTTTTTTTTTAGCAAAAATAGATTGACAATTAACTGCCGTTAAATTTGACCGTTAGGTTATGCAGTTTCACCGGTGTCTTTAACAGTAAAATTTAACAGTAGATGACGGTTCAGATCAGAAATGTTATGAAATAAAACTTCAGGATATATAAGCTAAAAAAAATTTCAAATATTGGGTGTTCCTTTGTGTATGCTTCCAATATATTTAAGTATTTTATCCCTATTTACATAATATCCAATTTTCGTACTTGGTATGTAGGAATACATGAAAGCGATTAAATTTAATTTACCAACAGGTGGGAAATTTTTTAATAAAAAAGGATTTTTTTTTTTGTGAATTATTGTGTCATTCCTAATATTGAAACCATGAATAGCTATAATTGATAGCGAATTATTTATCATCTAAAGTCCATGCCAAACATAGAGGAAAAGCTGCAAAATTATTGTATGTTGTTGATCAATATTATAATATTTTAATTTAGTTTATATTTTTTTCAACAAAATAAATACTTTTGGATCCCTCTTTATGTTTCTTTCCTGATTTCCTCAAGTACTGTATATTCGAAATTGATAGTTTTTATAAATAAATTAAAATATAAAAATATTTTATCTTTTACATTGTATTTGAGTATAATTATAGGAAATGGCTATAATAAAAATTTTAAAGTCCAACAGACGTGTGGAAGTGATATCAGTATGAGGGAAAACATAGCATTTTATTCCTTGAGTTTTGACTGGGGGTGTTTTGAAGAAAAACTAAGGAAGTGTTTGGCAACATTAAAAAGTGCTTCTTCGAAGCACTTTTTCACAAAATGAGGTAAACTCCTCTACATATTTATTTCGTAAACCGTAAAAGTACTTTTGAAACCATGGTTTGGTTTCCATTCAAACACCCCCTAAATTATTATTTTAAAAGTGATTTTATAATATATAAGTAAGTATGCGAGAAAAATTTTGTCTCATAAAAACACTTTTAAAAAGTAGTTTTTTTGAACCATGTAATTAATTTTGGTTTATTGAAATCTTTAATTACCCTTATGAAAGTAAGTCACATCAGCAATCTATGTTTGCCAGTTATTTGGCATATCAGCAAGTCAGTAACTTATTATCTCTGAGGATGTTGATTAAAATTAATCATAATATTGTAAGTAATTTCTTAATAAATAAAAAAACTAGAGACCTTGATCTTAATTGGCTATGACTTTAAGAAAAAAATATATGTTTTCTTTTAAATAATTGTAATTTGAGGGAGATAATCAAACTCTCACATAACATAGGTAATTAATACGTAAAAATAAAAAGAGAAAACAATGTGGAGATGCGGGGAATCGAACCCCGTAGTTTAAGTAAACTCAACCATTTGAGCTACATCCCCTTTTGATGTTTGAATTGGTGATTACATTTTAAATAGGTTAGTCATTATTGTACATATGTTCTTATACATATGTTGTTGCCTGTTGGTCAATATTATAATACTATAATTTAATTTATATTTTATTTCATTAAAATAATATATTTGGATCCCTTATTACGCTTCTTCCCTGATTTGTTAAATATAAATAATCTATTAGAAATTGATAATATTTTATAAATAAACTAAAATATAAAAATATCTTAACTTTTACATTGTACGTATTTGAGTAATTGAAGGAGATGGCTGCGATACAAATTTTAAAGTCCGAAAGATGCGTGGAGCTGATATTAATATGAGGGAAAATATAGGTTTTAAGGAATCTGATGTTGATTAAATTTAATCACAATCTTGTATGTGATTTCTTAATAAAAAAGACTACAATCCTTGATCCTAATTGTCCACGGCTTTAGGAAAAAAGAAATATTTTCTCTTAAATAAGTGTAATTTGAGGGAGATAGATAGTTAAACTCTCAAAAATGAGAACAGGAAGAAAAAATAAAAATGTGGATATATAAGAAATCGAACCCCGTAATTTAGTATAACTCAACTATTTGACCTACATTCCCATTTGATGAGATTTAAACTTTTACTTTCCTCTTTAAAGAGGTCTTCAACCAACAACTTACTAGTTGATTCTTGGAAGAGAAAAAAAGACTGGAAATACTTCATTATATTAGCTTTAGTCTTTAGCATGAATAACTTTTAATTATGTTATGAAAACCACTATTTTTTTTTTAAATCTTCCTAACTCTTTACACTGATTGTAATATATATCGGTGCAAAAAATCATTTAGAAAACCAATTTCATACCAGTAATTCTAGAACTAATGTACAATTAAAGTCCTTCCTCTTCTTGTGTCGCAACGGGGGAAGTTAAATTCGGCTATAGGTGAGACGCATATTTGTTGTGCCTAAGAAAATTGAAAAGAAAACAAAATACAATAAAATTAAGAAGGAACGAAACAAAGCAAGAAAAGACATCAAAAGCAGCAAAGTTGAAGCTCAAGGGGCACATCTTTTGAAGAGTAACTAATTCTATACGTGTACACACAATAAAAAAAATTAAAATTTACAAATATCAAATAAGAAATGTCAATAAAATTTTTTTATTATTTGTAATTCAGTATTATCAATATCAAATAAAATGTTGTTATCAAATTTAATTTGAAATTTAATAATTTTTAGCTTTTTTTTTTTTTAATCTTTCTCCCAAGACTCAACCCCTATTTTACTGTTTCCTATATCAAAAGATGGAGCGGAAAAAAACTTTAAAAAAGAAAAAAGGGAGAGA